TTTCAATTAATCTAATTAATTAATATTTTTATTGATTGTAAAATTAAGAGAAAATACAGTCATATATTTGGGAAAGACTGTCATTGGTCAAATAATTTCGTAAGGCAATATCGTTTTGTTTTCCAAAAATTTATGTGAAACAAAAAACTCTTAAAACGGTTACTTTTAATAATGCGCAAAATATTTATAAAATTAATTTCGCATATCATTTGGAAGTATTTTTATTTCGCGTCGCTCAATCAAAGACGAATTCGTCACATAGGGCATGTGCAACAGTTTGCATAGAGCAAATAACTGACTTCTAGATGGACGGATCAAATAGGATAATTAAAACCAACGTTGTAAGATTACGTACGTTTATTCTGCTTCGCATTTGGACACTTGCCATCGGCCGTCTGCAAACGGCACTTTGCAACTTGTCGCGAAATAGAAACGCCCGCAGGCAAATTGAATGAATCCTGTCGTGGCGCGCACGCGATATATTTGTACATATAATCTCTGATATCTCTGCGTCATTTAATTAATTTCAACTCAATTAATTCCGAATGCGGATGCGTCTTACAATTCCATCCCGCATCTGTGCTTTGAATAGCAAGAATTAGAAGAGAATTCGTATATTATATCAAAAAGTCTTGCGTTCATTGAAAGTTCATGGACTTTTGATAAATTCAATTAGAAAGATACAAATCACTTATAAGAAATCTTGCATTTATCAGAACTCTGCTAGATTCAACAAGAAAAATATAAATTAGATACTTATAGTTAAAAATTAAAAAATCTCATTGCACTCATTGGAATTTTGATAGATTCGACCAAACAGATATAAATCAGACACTTATATAATTAGAAAAATCTCATTGTATTCATTAGAATTTTGATAGATTCAACCAAAAAGATATAAATCATACATATGTTAAAAAATCTTGTTGAATTTAATAGAATCCTGGTATTTGTACTTTTCCGGTAGATACATTGCAATCAGAAAAATAAAAATCAGACAATAATAAATATCCTAGTGAAATTAAACAGAAATTTAATTGCGATAATCAGAATTCCGATCATACAATTCCAATCAGAATTGGTTTTGATTGTATTTCTTGTTGCAATTTTGTAACCAGAACATTTTTCTATGTACAATAACAACGCAGTACTTTCTATCTCGAAGTCAGAATAGTTGCAAAGTCACGATTACGTGTGAAATATTCTCCTCTTTTCTTAGTTTTCCACAGTAAAAGAACGTTCGCGGCGAAATATTTCACGTAACGAGAGAAATTAATGATCGTCAGTAGTATAAACAGACACTTACAACGAGCAGTAGATGACGACGCGACGGGTCAGACATCGTGGTACTATGCGCGATGGAGCGATATTTTGGTAGTTTAGATAGCTCGCCTCGCGGTTTCGCGTGATAACGGATAAATGCTCTCGGGAAGAGTTTAATTGCAGGCATATACATGGTTAAGAATACTCGTTTGCCGAGGAATTTCTACATTTCCGCGCTTAGCGCGCCTTTATCCGCGAACCGCAGCGGGACCGTCGCGAGCTAAAAGCCAAAAGATAAAAACTTTCCACCGCAGAAAGTTCCCTTGGATCGATGAGAAAATTTTCCCCAGGGCACTTTTGATTAAAAAGAATGTCCATAACCACCGAGCCACGCGGCGTCATTTTGAAATTGCATGGGAATTCGCGATACGGGAAACGCTTTTATATCGATATACAATCAGTTTGTCGAGCGGAATCGTCGTTGTATCGAGAAACCGCGCAAAAGATGTACCGTTACAGATATATCGAGCATCCGAGGAGACTTAAGCCTATCACTAAACGCGAGCTGCAAATCCTCTTATCCGCAACATATATGCGCGTTAAACACCCTGAATTAACAGGAGATGCGTGTTGCTGCCATAGTATCGCAACCAATCTCAATTCCGCACCACCTGCACCGCCATAATCCGTTAATATATCTCTGGAAGAAATGTTTCCTCGGGGAAACGTCATGCGCGGCATAAGCGTGGTATAAGTAAGTAGTGACAGACGTACCTGGTCGGACCGATCCAAGGTCAGGTCACTAGGCCGGGAACACACGGTGCTGGCTTGTCCTCGCTCCCTTTGGTGTTACGTATCGACAGGTGCAACGAGTGCAATGCACGGACAGCCGTGATGAGAGCCGACGATGCGATGATACAGCCAAGTCGCGCGTTGATCTAGTTGAGGCGATGGCAACGATGACGACGACGACGACGGTGACGGCGGCGGCGGCGAGACGTCGAAGGGATGAGACTCGACGAGCTGGGATGAGCGGGCGTAGCGAGACTCGCCCCCGTTATTGAGACGAGATCGACTACTCGCAGCGGCGACGACGTCGAACGCTCGCCAGCGAGCGCACGAGAAAGGTAACGAGACCGGTGCTCGGCGGCACCGTTGTAATCGCGCGACTCCGCGCCGCGTATCCGCTGCCGTCTGTCGTGGTGTGCCGTACCATCGAGCATTCGCATCCGGGGATACGCAATTCGACCTAACCTCCCCGAGCTCCGCCGAACGACTGGCGGGCTCGGCTCGCTTCACTGTCCCGGCGCACTACTCCGCACGCACTCCCCTCCCTGCCGCCGTTTATCCTCTCTCCCCCCCCCCTCTGCCAACAACGTCTGATTTAGTTGTGCTGCGAGTCGCGAAGAGACGCGACATCTACTCGTGCGGCATCCACATTCATCGCAATCGTAGCTATCGCGCGCGCTATCTTCCCCCTCTCTGAATGTAGCGCGAAACATTCAAAAGCGACTCGATATTTTACGCGTTCTGTTGTTAACTTCACTCCGCATTCAATTGAGATATCTCTCCCCACTGCCCGTTTCTGCCAATAGTGCCAATATAGATTAACTTTTATCGCAGCTTAACTTAATTGCTTTTTATCTTTCTTTGATTCTAAAAATTAGATAAAGAATAAATTAAACAGAGATTAAAATTAATCTAGATCTATCGGTAAATATGAACATAATATGATCCGTTTCTACAGATCCGTTTAGATGAACTTTTTTACTTATATCGGTTCTTCCTCTTTTACTCATATTAGATTTAATAAGATTTTAACTCATAATAAGATTTTTATTCATATTATGATTTTAATCTCATATTATGATTCAAATCTTCAATTTGCATTTATCTTTCTCTAATTCTAAGAATTAAAGAAGAGTGAATAAAATTGAGTTAATTTACATGATAGATATGGATAAATATTAAAATATAAATTTCTATCAATGTAAAAAACTTAAATGTAACTTTAATTCTAGTTATTTTACACGTGTCTCTCTACAAAGTTAATTTCTTTTAGCCTCTTCTAATTCTTAGAAAAAGATAAAAAGTAAACTAAGCCAAGATTAAAATTAATCTACATTAGTAAAAATGTACATTAATGTACATTAATGATAGTAACGATATCATTACACTGTACAGATTTTGTAGTAAAAGAAAATATATAACGACTGTATAACATTATTGTACTGTTATTAAGAATTTCAGAATATAGGGATTTTAATATCGATTTAACTTATTTTTTATCTTTTTCTGGTTCGAAAAATTATTAAAAAATACAGAGTAAATGAAATTAAGATTAAAATTAATCTATTTTGATGGTGGACACAATTCTCGTTTCTATTAACGTAAATTAATTTTATCTAATCGTTTAATTTACTTTTTATCTTTCTCTAATTCTAGAAAATGGAGAAAGATGATAGTCTGTACTTATTCAAAATGTGTTTTTATTTACAAATGTGCGCTTTTATTTCTGAAATTCTATGGACTATATGTAAAGTGCGCGTTTTAAAATGATATTAATGCGCATTTAGTATATAGTTCGTGATACATATTTTTAGAATATCAGAAACATAAACATGCTTATCGATAAGAGTGCATTTCGAATACTGTCCTATGTTTAAATATTATATTTAATGTGAGCTATAATGTATTAAATGTGTGCTAACATTGTTCTAGTTGAATATCTGCAGGTCAAAGAATTAATTAATTAAATCGAGAGTAAAATTAAAATTTTATTATTTCTTGAAGCGAAATAAAAGTTAAATGACCAAATTCACTAGGTGATTAATGAAATTATAAATATTCTATTAAATTAGCTCGTTCAATTGAGATAAAAGCCTCAAGAATCAAAATAAGATAACACTAGATATATCTATGATAATAATAGATGAACGTACTTTATTAGTAAATGAGATATGTTTTAATATTAATGCACTAATTTATTATTCATATAATTTGATGTCTAATAAAGACGTCTAATAATAACGTGCTGAAATGTTGGAAATATCGATTTTGGGATAAAGGGGGACAATTTTAAATATGATATAATTCTGTACAAAATAAGATTTGAATCTCATTTTCGAAATTCAATTCATTCAATTTTTTCTTGGTTAGTACATGAATTGTTTCGAATGACAACTCGCAAAGCGATATAACTAGTAATATATAATACTATAATATATAACTTAATTGATAACGAAAGGATCTTACTTATTACATAATTATCTTAATCATTCGAATGCATTATCTAGTTATCACATTTTTTTCATAAAAATAAAACAGCCAACAATTCCTTATCGAAGCTTCGTTCACTTTCTATTTTTACAAATAAATACTCATTTTAATGTCAATTCAACTTACTCTTTATCTTTCTCTAATTTTAAGAATTCTCAAAAAAGATAAATCAGTTGAGAATTGAGAGACAGATTAAAGTTCACCTATATAGGTATATATAAATGGACATGCGATTGATACGATGCACAAATGAGCACAGACTACAGAAATGGACTTGGAAATAGAATGGAATACATATCCGGTCGTCCGATTCTTATTACATGCGCACGTCGCTTTAAGTTTGGCGCGAAATCGCGTCGCGTCGCGCGCGGCCAAGTCCGCCAAGTCGGCGCGGAGGTGGCTCTGGCGACCCAGCTGGCGCCAGCAGCGCGCTCGGAAAACAGAAAGCCAAACCGGTCATGGGAGGCTAGTTAAACGACTGTGGCACCACGCTTGTGAGTTCTGTTTTCTGGCGGAAACGTTGCGACACATTACGCGGACGCCGCGGGAGTAGTACGACGACCAGCCGGTATTTTAAAAGATGGGAGCGTACTTGTCGGAACCGATTACGAAGAAGGAGTCGAGCGACGAAGTGGGAAAGAATGTCGCGTACGGTGCGAGCTCTATGCAGGGCTGGCGGATCAGTCAGGAGGTAAGCGGGAAGTTGTGTCGTCGCGGCGGCAGCGGCGACGGCGGCAACGGTCGCGACGTGCGCGCGCGCGCGCGAGCGCGCCCGCGTTTATTGTATTGTTATCTAGTTTCGGTTACCTCGCGTGTTTTGCCGGTTACCCAGCCACCATGTTCGTCGGCTCAGCACGGCCGAGGCGTCCCGTACTCCGAAACGCGCCGCTGCGCCGGGTGACGGGGGTGGCCGCGCGAACGTGACCGACAACGTCCGAGAGCCCCGGGCGCAGCATCCGACGCTCGTGGATGGCTTCCTTGCCACTCATGCGTTTATTTACCAACAGACGAGATAGCTCGATAACATCCTTGCAACATCGTCGATCAATATTGTCGCGGAATTGTTTTCGTCAGAAAAATTTATTATCTTATTGACGATTTTAATTTTCTTCGATATCGTGTATTGTATTAATTTCTTTCTATAGACGACAAAGTTATTACACAATAATAATTCTTTTATCTTTCCTTATTCGTTGATACTGTTGGAATTTATTACCATTATCAAATGAAAATTAATTGATTACGTGAAATAAATTTTGTATATCAATTTTCTTGTAAGAGAACAAATATTTAACTCAATTACAACTATGAAAATTATCCAAGGTCTAAAGCACCCTGTTTGAAATTAGAATACAAATGAACCTCCATCTTACGGCTCTTGATAAAAGAAAGTTCTTTATCTATAATTTAGAACTTTATAATATCAATCATATAAATTGTGCAAAATTTTTGCTTTGAATCCAAACTTATTAGTTGTAATCGAAGGTGAAGACAATAGAATTCTCTTTAGTTAAATTTTTTGCTTTTTTTTCCTTTTTTTCCATTTTTTGCCATTTTTTTCCTTTTCTTTCCAACATGGAGAGAAAAAGGAGGAAAGATAAACTGTGCAAGAAGTTTAACTGATAAAGAGAAGATTAAACAATCTTTCTCTAGAGTGAAAAAGGAATCTTGTCAAAGATAAGATTACTAACTGTAACTTTCTTTGCAGGATGCTCACAATTGTTGCATACATTTCGATGAGAACGTTTCGTTATTCGCTGTATACGACGGTCATGGAGGACACGAGGTTGCTACGTACTGCGCACGTAATCTCCCTGATTTTATCAAACAGACAGAAGCTTATAAAACAGGCGACATTAGGCAAGCTTTAATAGATGCTTTCCTCGGTTTTGATGAAACTCTTACAAAACCGGAGGTAATCAATATTCTCAAAGAACTCGCAGGAACATCCACATCAGAGAAAAAGGAGAGTGACTTGAACGAATCTGGTGCGTTTTTTTTCATATTAAGGATATGCATTATTACAGGATTTACCTTTATACAGACACTGTTGCTAGTTATATGTTTTGCAAGCTCTAATTTATTTTTTCTCCTTATCTGCACGAGTAAATTCTTAATAAGATTATCTTCGTACGTTACATTGCGTATAGATGAAGAAGAAAATGTTAGTAATCTGTGTATGGAGGCAACAATGCCATTGGAGCAAGTAATGGCAAAATATCAGTCAGAGGTGTCAAATCCTCATCTAAAAAATCTGAAAGGCGAAAAATGTGGTAAACGCGCATTCGTGAGTCCTTTTTTGCGAGGTCGGAGAGGACGAGAGAAAGCAAGTGGTTCATCCTCTGGCGCAGGATGTTCATCTTCGCCGTCACCGCCACCAACATCATCATCGTCTTCATCCTCATCCGGTTGGAATACAAATGAAACAGACGTAAGTAGTTCCAGCCAGCCGTGTGGATCGGCTCTGTCTAGCACAGTGGAGCGAAAAGATTCCGATGGTCCGGGAAGTAATGAAGCTGAGCAAGTACTGGATTCGACAACGAGCAATGGCAGTGCTCATGCGTCTCCACCAGTGGTATCTACTGAGGATATAGAAACTGCTAAATCTATGGATATGCCTGATAGCTCTGAAGATGTAAAAGAGAAAGTATCGAGTCCAGGCAAAGCGCCACCATGCGCGGAGTCTAATGCGAATGAGGTGGAAGTTAATGGCGCAGAATTGAAGAGGATCGGAGATGCAGACAGCAGTAAAGGTGGAGGAGACAATGTGTCGAGCAGTTCTTGTATTCCTGTGGAAAACGGAGATGCGGGTCAGCAAGAACGGATAACTAGCAGTGGTCGAAGAAGAATTCAGCCTGTGGATCTTTATCAAAGTCTACTGAAAAAGGACAGTGATGATTCTGAGGAAGACGATGATGATGATGAAAATGATGAAACCTTTGATGGCGTTCCTGAAAGGTATAAGTGTATACATATTATTTATTATAAGAACGCTTAATTTTTAAGAGAGTGTTTCTTTTAAATCGAGATTTCCTCTTTTAAATCGTTTTACAGTGACGGTGATGATACGGAAGATGTTGATGAGGATGAAAGTGACGAAGATGATGATGAAGTAGAGGAGGAAGATATAGATGATTCTGACGATGATACTGATGATCTCATGGTGAACACTGAAAAGGTATAATATCGATTTTATACAGAATTTATTGAATATTTAGAGAGATTTTTGCACTAATTTTACTGGAACTCCAATTCCTGTAATCCATAATTCTAATTAGGCTCTTTTTCTTATTGAATTTGTCTAATGTATAATTGTAATTTTTTATGTAGCCCGGTTCGGACAGTGGATGCACAGCAGTTGTAGCGATACTCAAGGAAAACGAATTGTATGTGGCTAATGCTGGAGATTCTCGGTGTGTTCTATGCAGGGATGGCCAGGCGATCGAACTTAGTCTGGACCATAAACCCGAAGACGCACCAGAAATGGAACGTATAGTAAAAGCAGGCGGAGAAGTGACAAACGACGGCAGAGTGAATGGCGGCCTCAATCTTTCCAGAGCGCTCGGTGATCATGCCTATAAGCAAAACATGGTATTACCACCCCAGGAACAAATGATCTCGGCTCTACCAGACATAAGGCATATTACAATCGATCCAGAGAAAGACGAATTTATGATACTAGCTTGCGATGGTATATGGAATTTTATGACCAGTCAAAACGTCGTTCAGTTCGTGCGCACCCGTTTATCACAAAATTACGAAAACATTTCGAAAATCTGCGAAGAGGTATTGATGTTATAAACTTAAAAAATTACAAATGACTTTTAAACATGCTCGAATGCATCTTTTCAAACCATTTAAAGTATTCTTTAAAGTATTCTTTCTGAATAAACAATCTAATGTATGTTATAGCTCTTTGATCATTGTCTTGCACCGGATACTCTCGGCGATGGAACGGGCTGCGATAACATGACTGCCGTAATAGTTAAATTTACATCACAGGCAACTGAAATTGTTAAAAATAATACCGTTGCTGAGGTATGTGTTACAAAGAAGCGATCGGTTTCGCCAACTACTGAGGAAAACAATGAGTGTATCCCGGGAGAAAACACAGTAAATCCTTGCAAACGTGCTAAAACTGAGGCAGCTATGTGAATTAGGAGTCATCACGCGTCATGAACTGATCTCCGGGAGCGGACGAATGAATGTGAGTTTATGTAAAATTATATAACAACTTTATATTATTGTGTAGAGCTGGAACCAATTGGTTATACAGTAACAAGCACATGAAATAGTATGTAAGGTGTGTTATTCGTCGCTGCTAACAGACTGCTAGATTGGAGCACGTGGGATGATATAACTTAGTTTTGTTAATAACGTATATGAATAATTTCTCGATCACAATAAAATAAATAACGCATATGAAGAGAAATTTCTCTTTTTAAGATCATATCCTGTGCATATATTTTTATTGTTACATAATGTTAAATACAATTTGTTTAATATTGAACTTTATTTTATTATTGAGAAATATATATATATAT